ATGTAGCTTTTGCGATCGGGATAACTATGCAGTAGTCAACCACCATTCTTTGTCTAAAAGATATACTGCTGTTTTGTTTGACGCTTCTTTTTTTACAAAAAGCACAACTGAGGCATTCTAATTTCGTCGCCCCAAAGTTTTATTTCATTTCCCAGACGATTATTGACTTTCGATCTCAAGTATACAATGTTGAAAGCCCTTCCAAGTTGTGATCGCTGCATATCGGAGTAATTTCAACATTAGATATCCCCACAAACTAATCAGTCTAATCAGCTTATTTTATGAAACTCCAACATTTTTTACTTAACTAAGGAAATTGAAACCCATAACGGAATTATGTCATTCCTGCTAAAAAAGATGTCTTACATTTTTGGCACAGTAAAATGTTCTGACCAGTTTATTGAGCTTTCTCAATAAAAACTAGGCATGAGGACGTTTTGAAGCCAGAAGAATGTTACTATTGTAATTTATAATAATAATGAGTAATCGGTGATTTACTCCATATTGAAATACTTAAAGACAGCGTTTTTATATAGTATGAAAGAGATGGTAACAATTCACTTGGTACACTTTCATTCAACGGGATTGGCGGCAGGAGGGAGGGGCTTCACGGCCTAATCAAGGCTAGAGAATGTTCAGAGATCACGCTTGCGAGAGAGACGCAGACTGCGTCGCTGGTGCGAGCGGTCGCCTTTCAGGCGCCAATCCCTTTGAATCTAAGGGTAAATCCTTTTGGAAACCCTTTGGATAAGGGTTGTACGCCATAAATAACTATGTCTTCTCTGAAAAAATCAGCCTTACTAAATGTTGCAATATAAGTTTGGGATGGAATACTAGTTCAAAGAAATGAGAGAAAAGCATAGTTTCTAGAACATATTACTTGCAATAACACTCATTCTCATCTATTTAGCACGGTCTTTGGCTTGACTGTGCGCGTGCCGAGCGCTATCTGGCCGCTGTTGGACGAGAGTTTGGTGGTGGACAAGCACTTCATTGCACTTACAAATTCGATCAGTCCGCGAGTCAGGTACGAGTTTCAAATTTCTGCCCAAATTGAGGCAAAAATTAACAGGGCTTTTTCTGCAGGTTATTGACGAAAATATCGAAGACATTGACCAAAACAGTGCTGCAGGTGAAAGCGAACACCACCATTTCTTTGGTAGGTGAAATTTTTCTTCAACTTCTACTATAATGTAATTCTTAATCCAATTTCATGATTTAGGCTGGCACAAAGCTGTCCTTGGTTGCCTTATCGTATCGTTACTTTTTTCCTCCTTAGCTCTTTGCTGTGGTTTATGTGCCCCATGTAATGGCGGCTGCGCTGTGATATTCACGATATTTGTATTTCTGGCATGTAAGTCTTTAATTCGCGTTTCTAACCCTCAAAAATTGGCTTCGCGCTCTACTTTTACCAAAATGTTTCTTTTGTATTCAGTATTTATGGCCGTTATTGGTGACGGGATTTTCTTCTTT